ACGTGCTGTTAAGTTGCATTAGTTGACTGTTGACGCCAGCGAATTGGGGATGCCAAGATAAGCCCATCCGATATCCGACAGTTTGGTCGCTGTCACAGATGTAAAGCCAAGATTCGAGAGGCTAACTTTACCATTCAGGGTATCTCGACACGCCATGACCAACTTAACGCGCAACAATCAGTTATCAAGATCCTATCTGAGTGTCCTCATGATCACCGCATTCCTATCAGCAAGATAGACAACCCCGCCCGTCCCGTAGATAGCACCAGGGACTTTTTATCTTGTTTGGGTATAGCCTCATTCTCGCGAGCTACGCCGATCTCCATCGCCAACGGTTCCCCTCCTATTGGCTCCTCGGTACCTGCCAGGATGCGAAATCCGGGGGTGGATTCGCGCCAAGAGCAGCTGGTCAACAGCTCTTTTACGTAGGTAGCAAACCTCGTGGAGCTTTTCTCATCTTAGCTTTTTCCCTCATGTAATGGCAATTATGAAAGGTCAAGCAAAGTCCCGCTCTGGCTGCAGGGCCTGCAAGAGCAAAAGGGTAAGAATATCCGGAGCAGCTTACCCTATTCTCACTAATGCTGTGTGTGTGATCTGTAGCTCAAGTGTGACGAGAGCAAGCCTAGCTGTAATAATTGTATTGCGAGGAAGATTGCTTGTCCGGGGTATCAGCAAACTCTCAAGTGGTCCACCAAATATGAGCGGCGAAAGGACAAGACGAGTGATCCTCCTGGTTTCAACCAACTCATCTTTGCTGCGTCTGAGTCTGTTCAACGTCGTGGTTCTGATGTGACGGTATCTCCACCTCAGAGCAGACGGTCCTCTACCACTTCGCAACAAACTTCAAGTCCTGCTACAGTGCCATCGGTTCCTGCGTTTTTACCTAACGACTCAAGCCCTGTATGTCAAGAAGACAAGGACATTAAGAGTACTATCAGTGCAGCTGTCAGTGGTGGCCAGCCATGCAACACTTCTCGAAGGCGCTCAACATTAACATCACCTAACGTCGCGGATAATACGACGTCTTCAAACAGCATGCCTCTCATACTACTCCCCCAAGACCCAACGCCGAAGACCCCCGAAGAATCCGAAGACCAAGCCATCGCTCTCTACAGACGACGCTCATCATGTTATAAAGCAATGAATACTCCAACAACCATCTCTGAACCGTCAACATTCCTAATCGAGCTCTGGTTCAAATCTGTCTGCGGCTCATGGGCAGCATACGACTCCCCGACCAATCCTTTCCGGCGGTTAGGATCCTCCCTTTGGGGTTCCTCAAGGCCATTATTCTACTCTCTTCAGAGCATGGCAGCTGCTTCTCTCACACGACGACAACCTCAGATCCAAGAAATCGCTGCATCGGCCCCACGAATGGCGACCGAGGCTATAATCCAGGAGCTCAAAGATCTCTTCGCGTCGCCGAATAGTGTCACTACAATACCTCACGCGCTTATCATATCACTCTTCTGCTTGAGCTCATCGCTTTGCTGGATGGACCATAAACAGCTTGGTCTGCAATATCTACGCCACGTGCGCGTAATACTAGCCCTACTCGAAATGCGATCCGAGCACCTCTCCAAACAAGACCAAAGTCTAGTCGGCTTTTTCAAAGAATGTCTTATTTACGAAGAATCAGTCCGCAGCATCGTGACAAGCACCAAAGATGACATCAGCACGCTCACAGAATGGACGCCAGCGACGTATCCACCATACGACTTTGTTCTTCATCCGTGGACAGGTGTTCCGCCCAAGATAATTGCTTTGTTTGGAAAGTCAATGTCGCTGTGTCGCCGATCGCGGGATACTTGGCGAAATTGCACTGCGCCGACGTATGAGGTTATGTGGCAGACAATGATCGACATTAACGAAGCGCAAATCCTCGAAGAGACGCTCTTGTCCGTGCAAGTGCCGAAGCTCATTAGCGACGCGGCAGATGCTTATACGAACAAGGGCCAGATCAATCTCGATTTGCACCACGCTGCAGAGGTCTTTCGACTCTGTTCACTATTGCAGCTGTACCAAACATTTCCAGATCTTGTGTCGAGAAGACTTCCCGAGAGGATCAACGGGAGTGTAACACAAGTTACATGGCCCACGTCACTCGCCCTTCACATCACAGGCCTCTTATCCAACATCCCTGCCTCGTCGATCCGATGTCTGCAACCCTTGCTGTGTCTCGGAGTCGGCTCAGGATTGCGGTGTAAGACGGTATGCGCTGAGGAAAAGCCACCGCAATTAGAGCTCCTAGACGCCACCGCAGACGAGTGCTCGCTGACTGAAGAATCTAACCACAAGCATTTTACAGACGTCAACTTGGCGCGTGAGTTTATCGTCGAGAGACTGAAAGGGTTTGGCAATGGTCCAGCTGCTGGGCCGATCGTTGTGCTGCGGGAGTTACTGCAAGCAGTGTGGTCGTATTATGATTGTGAAACAGTGCCGGGGTCTATTCATTGGCTTGATGTGATGGATGATTTAAAGTACGAGACTGTATTTGGTTAGATTTGAGGCCAAACGTAGCTCTATGTTTAATTGCTTAGTTCGATACCAATTCGATACCCAGTCTAAACAAGTCTATTCTTTTACTCTTAGACTCCATCCTCAGGCAGTAGAACTCAGACTCAGATCATGTCCCCAACCACCGGCACATCATCCAAGATCCCTGTGATGGTCAATCGAACTTCCCGTCTTGGCAGCCACATTCCGTTCAGCTGCGCCCACCATCAGAGACACGGTTACACTAACAAACACTCCTCGCAGGGTTGATTTGATACTGGGATTTCTTATCTTGTCACCGACACGGACCATTCCTTATCAGGGTTGAGTTACCGTGCAGAAACCCAGCGGATTGGTCTGCGCGCGGGGTAAACCAGCGCCCGTGATAGCTACACCACACTAACACCTTCTAGGCAAAAATGTCCCGGCTAGAATTGGAATCTGGGGAAGGGGGGGATGCTCGTGATATCACCGTGTTAGTAGGCGTCACAGAAGGTTTAATTTCTTGATAAGGGTGTGTGAGTGAGTGTGTGTCTGGTTTATAATACAATGCTACCGCCGCACGTTTTATGTCAACGTCAACACCAACTTCAATTCTGCCTGTTCCATCATATCATATCTAATTGCTATTTGTTATTATCGTCGATATGAATAACGCGGAGAAAGGTGTATCAGAAAAGGGGAGTGATCATGAGCAGGCAAAGAACTATGATCATGCTGTTGGCGACGCCGGCGATGCTGCGGACCTGACGGCCCTTGGGTACAAGCCCGAACTCAAGCGTAACCGATCAATGTTTACACTTCTTTTCCAATCATTAGCAATCGCTGCTGTAAGTCTCCCATGACCCCTTTCCGTTGTCTCATTTGCTAATTAGTGGTAGATCCCCTATGGCTTCGGCGCACCGCTCATCAACTCCGTCTACGGCGGTGGTCAACTAACCATGTTTCTCGGCTGGATCATCGTCTGCATTCTCGACGAGTGCATCGCCATCTCACTAGGCGAACTCGCTGCTCGATGGCCTACATCAGCTGGTCCCTACTACTGGTCTTTCCAGATCGCGTCGCCAAAGTACAGAACTGTCCTGTCTTTCATCACCGGCTGGACATGGCTTGTTGGAAACTGGACTATCACGTTATCCGTCAACTTTGGCTTTGCTTCGCTTCTCGCCGGAGGCATTAGCATCTTCCTGCCAGATTACGACTGGCAGCCGTGGAAGCTCGTGTTGATCTTCTACGGGCTTTGTGTGTTTACCTTCTTCATCGTCGCGTTTGGCAACAAATTCCTTCCTACCGTGGATACGTTCTGTGCAGCTTTTACTGCTATTACTATCTTCGTCGTTTGTGTCTGTTTGTCGACCAAGGCCGATAAGGGCAGACATTCGGCAAGCTACACGCTCGTAAGTACGGAAGTTCCCGATCATTCACTTTTTTACTAACTTGCCAAGGGAAATTTTGATCCCAATTTATCAGGCTGGGGAAACTTTGGTTTCTGGATCGGTGCTTTGCCATCAGCTTATACGTTCTCCGCTATCGGCATGATCACTTCCATGGCTGAAGAATGCGGCGACGTTACAGTCAAGCTCCCAAGAGCTCTCGCCCTTTGCGTCCCCGTCGGCGGCATTGCAGGCTTGTTCTTCGTAAGTCACAGCTAATCTTCCTCTCACATCAATCTACTAACAATCACCAGATCATCCCTATCTGCGCAACCCTCCCCCCTCTAGAAGAACTCCTTGCCGCACCCCTAGGCCAGGTCCTCCCCATGATCTTCTACCAGGTAATGGGCTCCCAAGCCGGCGGAATCGCCCTTACAGCACTGGTCCTCATCATCACACTGTTCTGCTCCATCTCCATCACTGTCGCCGCCTCCCGAACAACATGGGCTTTTGCACGCGACGAAGCTATTCCCCTCTCGAGAGTCTGGTCCAAAGTCAGCAAGCGTCACGAAACACCCATCATGGCTCTCCTCCTCACGACTATCATTGAGATGCTTCTAGGTCTCATCTACCTCGGCTCAAGCTCTGCCTTTAACGCTTTCATCGCCGTCGGTGTCATTGGTCTCGCTAGCTCGTATGGCATTCCAATCTTACTATCCCTGCTCACCAATAGAGCTGGAGTCAACACAGCGCCTTGGACTTTTGGCAAGCAGATCGGGTGGGTTATTAACATCTTCGCTCTGGCCTGGATTTGCTTTGAGATGGTCTTGTTCTGTATGCCTGTTGCTATCCCTGTCAATGCTGTCACGATGAACTACGCCGTCGTTGTGTTCTTTGGCTTTATGGCGATCTCGGCGGTTTGGTATGTTGTGCATGCTAGACATGTGTATAAGGGACCACCAGAATCCGATGGTCTCCACAAGTAGGACGGAAGTTTTTGGGATCGTTTCTCATTTTTGAACAGACATCGTCCCCTCTTATCTTGTATATACTTAACGTTATCATCAATCATAATGTCAACCCAATCATTTAAAACGCCCCATCTATAAAAACGTGTCTCCTTATGTGTGTTCATCGGATTTGATCAGCCCTCGCAAGATACTCCGGTGTATACCGTCCACTTTCTCCCCTGCCACTAAACTCCTCCATATCACCCTCCTGAACATCAGCCAAATACCTATCAAACTTATCCGCGACATCAATCGCCCTCTTCAAATGCGCAAACGTCATCTTCTTCCTCTTGTACTTGGCCAACTGTCGCCCCGTCGTGATCGAGTTCCTAATTTGCCGTCCATTCATAGGATACTTTGCTAACTCTTCCAGGTACAACTCAATATCATCAAAGTCGATACTTTCTTCCTCGCCTAAACTCTTCAACCTCACCAGGAAGTTCTTCCAGATCTGTAATCGCTGGTAGTCCTTCAACTTCTCATACCGTAGAGCTAGCTGGATACGTGATTTGAAGGCCTCGTCAAATGTCCCAACGCGATTAGTCGTTAAGATCAGAATACCTTCATAGTACTCCAGAGCTCGAAGGAATACAGACACTAGCGCATTCCTCTTCAAATCTTGTAAAGTTCGCTGTTCGAGAAAAACTTCTGCTTCATCAAGAAGAACAACGCAGTCCCAAACCTTGCCTAGATGAAACACAGATTCGAGATACTTCTCCACGTCTGCAGGCTCAGTACCAATGTCTCCGCACGTAACTGGATATAAAGGCTTCTTGGCGATTTCTGCTACAGACTCAGCTGTAAACGTCTTACCTGTTCCTGGGGACCCGTGCAGGAGCATGATGAGACCGCTGCCTTTGCTTTCGATAAGATCTGTGTTTTTCTCCGCATCGAGCTGGTTGGTCACTAGAGCTAGGACAAGCTCCTTCATGGCTTCGTCTGCGACAAGGCTTTTGAAAGCCTCCTTGTTCCAACTGACGTCTCGGATTCGGTCGACCTCGAGATCAACTGCATATCAATGAGTATATCAAGTATAGCGAACGGTTCCAAGAGAGCTGCTTACCCCATTTCTTACGTCGCAGGTCAAATCCCGGGATCAACTTAGGGAATAGGTAAATCTCTGGTTCCTCAGGCTCGCTTCCATCCTTTGGGAGGTTGGGCTTTCGACCTGATATATAGCCTTCTTGTCTCATGTAGCTGCTTCCTGGATGGAGTTCCTTGTAGGTGTCAAAGTCCACCATAAACCGTTGTCCCTATTGGGTTTCAGCACAACGTGTCAGCTTGGGTGAGGCCTACTTACCGCTTGTATTCTATCAGAATCACTGCCTTCATATGAGATGAGCGTTTTTTCTCGCAGCTTCCAAAACCTCTTGCCTCGCTGCCGTAATATTTCTTTTACCCTGGGCTTTGCATATGACAATGGGATAACGTTGAGATCCGTGATGTTGATTTCCCCACCTCTGTACTTGGGTGGGAATTCAATGAAGAGCTCCTTATCAACTGCAAAGAACTTTCCTGCATATCCGTAAGAGCGCGTTTCCACAATCCACGTGTGCGTGCCCTGTTTCTCTTGTTCTTTATCTGAATCATCCGATTTCTTCTTCTGCTTATGAGGAGCCGGTCGAGTGGTAGCAACACGTCCACTGTATCTGCCGTTCTTGTCTGCGACGAGCGTATCTCCTGGGCGGATTAGGAACTCAATGGAGTCACTAGAGACTTTTCCTCTCTTAAATTGGTCGTCAATCTGGTCATAAAGTGGTGCAAAGTTACTTTCGATCCATTCAACGAGAAGTCCAACCAGTTGAGCGTGTCTCTCTGATAGTGCCTCCATCTTGAAGCCCGTTCGGCAGTGATACCACCAGAGGTGAGGGTCCTGCAAGCTGCCCATCTCGTAAACATACGGAAAGTCGTCGCTCATTGAAGGGAAAAGTTCAAATAAGGCCTCGACTGCCTCAACCATTTCTTCCGTCACTAGAACGACATCTTGGCTGGCTGGTTCTGGTTCAGGAAGCGGTTGCTTTGCTCTCTTGGCAGCATTTACTGCGTCGTATTGATAGTCCACGGAATAATATTTGTAAACGATGAGTGATGCGCCTTGTTCTTCAGCGTAGTCACCAGGGTCTGTGATGGGGAATCGACCTCTGAGGTCGACATCGTCGCCAAAAACTACCCATTCAGGAGGAGAAAGATAGACTGTCCGACTTCTTTCGTCGACACTATCGTCGTCCAGCTCGACTCTTTCTAAACAATAGAAGAGCTGAACTTTGGCAGGCAAGTCCATGGGACCAGTTGAGATATTGTCTGCATCTTCTCGAAGGGTGGTGTTCTCTTCTTCCAACTCCTCAACACGCTGGATTAGTGCCTGCAATGTGTTCTCATCGACTAGAATCTGATGGGAAGAAATTTCCTCTCCAGTAACGTCGGCAAAGTCATGAGATCCCTCCTCCTGTATTTCAGAATGTCCATGAGCCTCAGTTGTCTTTCCCATATTTGTTGACCGACTTTCATGCTGAAGCTCGGTAGCGCTTGTAGGCACGGAATTTGGCTCCGAAGGCCTTGACTGCGCTTCTGATTGCTCCTTGTTGGCCTTGGTAAAGGTCGGGATGCGATAGCCTCGAGTTGGGCCAGAGGATCTCCAAGTGGCTGGCGGGGGAACCGGGGGTGGTAAGTTGTGGTTGAAGTTATTGATATTGATGCCAGCATTGGCACCGTTTGGCATGATAGGTCCATTATCTATCGCTGCAAGTTTATCTCTGTTGCTAGCTCCTATGGCGTCCTCAGAGATGGTGTAATGTGTCTGAGCGGGCTTGATGACAGGTGGCATAGGTGACTGTGGAGGCGCCTGAATTGTCTGTGGATAACCCGGAGGAGGAGGCGGAGGAGGAGGGTTAGGATTGACCCATTCAGTTTCTATGAAATCTCTCGGTGGAACAGGAATAGGAGAACGATCAATGACAGGAGGTGGAGGAGGTGGAGGAAGTGGCCTCGCTTGCCCTTGATTGCGGGGAGTCCTGGGAACGACCATGAGAGGAGGTGGCGGAGGTATTCTTCCTTTTGGGGCCTTTCGAGGATTACTTATTCTAGTATTTGACGGGGCAGGTCGAGGTCTCTGAGGTAGCGCCAACATTGAGGGTTTCGCAAACAAATGTCCCTCTCTTCTTAGAAGTCGACTGAGCTGCTGATGAATGTCCTCTTCTTCGCTATCGTCCTTATCATCTGCCTTGTCCTTCTTGTTCTTTGGAGCAGGCGATACGCTTCTTGTTGGTGAGTCCATGTTCACTATTGCCTTAAGAAATACCGATTATGAGATGAAATGAGGAGGTGTTGAGGTGAAAATGAATCAGGCTGAGGAGTTGAATGTCAGCCGCAAAGCGCCTGACAGGGGTATATGCATGAAGCTGCAGGTCGTCATCTTGATTATTCCTCGTGATTGCTCAGCCTCCAGCGCCTCCTCTCTTCTTCCGTTGTTGGCCTAGACTCGAGTTCAAATACCCTTCGAAAAGGGATGCATATTGGGACACATCTCAATATCCTCTATCGTGATGTCCGTCGACCTGGTCTTTCAGCCATGGTACAAGGGCGATGATGCGAGTAAGCAACCACTAGCCAATGAAACACTTCATACAAGCTTACTCTGTCAGATAAAGCGGATATAGCGCAAGAGGCCTTCAAGTCGGTTAAGAAACACTTTGAACTGAGCAATTCATTGAGTAGTGATGAGAAGGCTCTTTTGGGGAAGAAGTCGTCGTTACAAGACGTTGAAAAGGCAGTCAGTGACGCTTTCGCAAAATACGAAGCTAAGAGCGAAGCCTCCAAAACACGTAAATGGCTGCTGAGGGCTTCTGAATCAATATGCCATTATGGCCAAGTGCTCGATGTCTTTGTTCAGCATCATCCTGAGTACGTCTCCTTGGCCTGGGGACTGATGAAGGTGATGTTTATCGTAAGTCGGCTTAATCTCTGCACTCAACTCTGATATCTCACCATTGCATACTAGAGCGTAGTCAATCACGGCGAGAAACTCAAATTATTATCAAAATCTCTCTTCGAGGTGGCACAGCGTCTTCCACGCATTGAACATTTATCCGCTCTGTATCCGACCAAGAACATGAAGACAGCCATTGAAAGCCTCTATTCTTGCATCATGGAGTTTTTACTCATTGCTCACTCCTGGTGTAACGAGTCAAAGTTCAAACACATCTACCACAGCTTCACAAGACCACACGAGTTGAGATACAGCGATCTGTTACAGAGGATAGAAACTTGCACGGGCAACATCAACGAACTTGCAACTGTGGGATCACAGACTGAGCTTCGAGTTATGCACGACACTCAGTCATCAAAACTCAACGAAATCATCTTAAGTTTACAGACTAGTGAGAAGACTAGGCAAGTACAAATAGATGGCCTCAATTGCGCTATCTCAAGATTGGAGATATCGAGTCGAGACCATGATAGGAAGCTCGACTTGATCATGCAGTGGCTAGAGGCTTCTGGGTTGACAATTAACGACTTGTTGACAAAGATAGAGAGTATGCTACATTCAAAAATGAGTGCAAGGTCTTTTTACTAACGTGTATCAAGCTTTCCACTCTATTCAGACAAGTGCGCAGCTGGATACCAACCAAAGGCTCTCTTCTCTGCAATTATCCCAAGCATTGGCAACCTTCTCTCAGAGCCTTGAGAACCCTAAGTCTTTATACAAACACCATTTGTTCCTCAGGAACCGGAGGGCTTCTGGGAGAGGAGCAACAGTAACTACCAACGAGTTCTGGCTGTCCCCAAAACTCGCAAGATGGTCCTCATGCCCAAATTCCTCTCTCACAATCATCAGAGGCAGCTTCACGACCCGTTGGGCAATCCAGGACTTCGCTATAGATATCATACAAGCAGTCACCATGATGAACATACCAGCTATCTGGGTACTGGGCAGTGCAAACAAGACGAGCCCCAATGCGAAGCTGAGTCCGGCCGATTTGGTGAGATACCTAACCTACCAAGCACTACAAATTGAGGGAACAGTTACAACAGAAAAGCAGATGTCACTGAGACATTCGCAACTCGAGGAGGCTAAAACTAGCCAAGACTGGCTTGCACTCTTTAAGCTAATCATGCAAGACTTGGGAGGGCAGATCTATATCATCATTGATCTTGCGACTGTGAGCTCTGGTCCCAAAGGATCTGGTCAAGCCAACTTGATCTCCCAACTGAACGAAATGCTGGAAGACCTGAGTAACAAGAAACTACACAAGGGATCACGAACCAAGGTGAAGATTATATTGCTCGTCTACGACTATAATTGGATGAGCTTGATCCCGAGGGAAATATATGATCGCCTTGTCCCAGTCAAGATATCGGGAACTAAAGGATTACAAGGAAAAAGAATGCGGACAGCCGTTGATACACGAATCCTACCGAGACAGAGAGATTTACATTAGGTAGATATACGCCTCGCCCGTAATATTTGGTATATCCCCAATCTCGAACGGTATCCAGACTATATTACAAGTGTATATGGCAGGGTTGTGCGGAATAACAAATTGTATTTTACATCGCGTACTCTGCTTGTTGCTGTGGCCTTCAATCACCTAGTCACATGATGGGCTGCATAAATGCGGCAATTTTGAGGTCAGATTGATACGCGCTGATCTTGCAACAGGCAAATTATTATAGTCATCTTTGAAACCAATCTCGAATATGTCATCACTAGTTTCATTATGCGAATACTGCTCGCAGATTCCTCTAGACCCAAAGGCGCTAGATGCGGAGACTGAGTGTGTGCCGTTTGAACAGCGGGTAAGGTCCCTTGGGGCTGCTACTCGTATCAAGAACAGTTCCTGTCCATTGTGTCGCCTTTTCCTATCTCATTTGGACCCAGACTTCGTCGCTGCTCCGTCCAATGGAGAAGTTCGGCTTGTTTGGTCAAGGGGGCCTTCCGGGCACTGGGCTTTCGCGTCTTTCAAATCTCGACAAGATACCTGGATTGGCTTCAGCTCTTACATGGAGACATCTGGCCACCCTCGTCCTGCCTCGGGATTTTTTATTGAGCCTTGGACAGACCCTGTGGTGGACACTTCTAGGATCTTACGCTGGATCTCATCTTGCGAGCAGCTCCATGGCTCGGAATGTGCGATGCCGTCGAACCTACTCTTTGCCGAGGCTTTTCCTGGTCTCCGTGTCCTCCGCTTCATCGATATCGAGGCTCATTGTATCGTAGAAATGGCGAGGCTTGAGAAATATGTCGCTTTGAGCTACGTATGGGGAGCCGTTGCAAACTTTCGACTCACCAAGGCGAATCGAACGGCACTGGTTATGCCCGGCTCTCTAGAGGAGGTCTTTGAGATGCTGCCAAACACCATAAAAGACGCTATCACTTTGACAAGGCGTCTTGGGTGCCGATATCTATGGGTTGACGCACTTTGCTTGCTGCAGAATGACACCAAGGACTTGGAGCTAGGTGTCAATGTCATGGACGTTATTTACGAAAGAGCTTGGTTGACAGTTGTGGCAGCCTGTGGCCATGATGCTAACGCGAGACTCCCCGGTGTTCAGGAAGGTACTAGAGATGGTTCTTACAACACCTTCGAGATTGTGCCCGGCTTGGGGATGGGAATTGTGACGGGGTTAGACGGATTGCTTAAACGCTCAGTCTATAATTCCAGAGCTTGGACGTGAGTCGGCTATCCAATTATTATTAATCAAGGATTCTGATTCGAGGCAGTTTCCAAGAGGAAGTCTTGTCTCGCCGAGTTCTCTACTTTATTGAAAACAAGGTCTTCTATCGTTGCCGTGCAGCGGAGCATGCCGAGCACTTTGTAGACAACCTCTCACAAATCTCGGTTGACTCGACGTCGGGATCTCTGCTTCCCAGCGCCGTGCCCATGAATTACCCGGCCTCCGATTTTTCTACGATGCTCTTCTACTATACAAAAAGGGCATTGACAAACCAGAACGATACATCACGGGCCATGGCTGGCATTATCAGGCGAATTGCAGGGTTAATGAAATGCAACTTCTTCCAGGGGCTTCCAACATCCACTTTCGATCTTTTTATCGCATTCTATCCATTCCATACGGCTCTTCACCGGCGCTCGAAATTTCCGAGTTATTCGTGGACAGGCTGGCGCGGTTCTATAGATATGGACTTCATAACAACTGATAACAATAAAGCCAATAATTGGCTCAGGGACAGAACATGGATCGTTTGGTATAAGCGGAACCCTTCTGGCATTACCAGTCTTGTCTGGGATCCGGATGCAAACCCATCATTCCCATTGTCAGATATGGAGTACGTGGGATGTCGTCGTAGGCGTCTTTTCTCCGATGGCCGACATGTTCCAAGACGACTGGACACAAGGCGAACCATGCCTACTGAAAAGGTGTCCTTCTCTCGGGAAGTGCCATCTTACCCCATACTTCAGTTTTGGACCCTTTCGCTGTTCTACAGAATCTGTGACATTGATGTTTTCAGGGCCACTGGGTATCTTGAAGACTCAAACAGCAAGAAATGTGGTTTTGTTTGTCTAGATGGGTTTGAAGAAACGGAGTTTTTTGAATCGCGCAGCTCCTTTGAGATAATACTTCTATCCGCGACATCCAAATCTCGATTTTTGAAGTCCAGTGGGATAGAATGGCAGGACCAGTATCCTCCAGTAGTAGGTCAATTGAAGTATTATCACATCATGATTCTGGAGTGGCACTGTGGAATAGCCGAAAGACGAGGTTTTGGTCTGATTCACCAAGGTGCTGTTGAGTTTAGCCTAGCTCCTGGTCCATCCTGGAAGGAAACATTTCTAGCATAGAACCTCGAATCGCATACTGGATTGCATTTGAATAGCGACTGCACTGGGATCGAAAGGAAAGACCAATATAGCGCGAGATCTACCATAGGTAAGTTTGGTCGAGTACAAGCACATGAAGACAAGGAATGGTTATTATTAATAGGGGACAGCTTCGCTTTGATGTCTTATTAAATCCTCTCTTGATACGGAAGAACTTAGTTTTCTGTAGCACATTGATCCATTGGGTTTCCCATTGTCATGTTAGAAGTGATATTTTCAAGAGGGCAGTCCAAGGTTAGATACCGCTCCGTTACAGGCTCAGCGGTGCTTTTGGAAGTCTAGAGGTATAAACAGCTCCTTTCTACTCATCATTTTCGGCATTAAATACATCGTCAAGATCCGTATCGACCTGAGCTTCAAGTCCGCCAATAAAACGTGTCTTTGTCAGGACCTACGTGAGCTCTACATTATGAAACATCTGCATAGTATATTTCTTTCTTGGGGACATGATTCGTTCTGTTACAGCTCTTGGCACATGAGTGAACAGACTACTATGTACAAATAGGAGAAATCATGTTCGACAACGAAACTTTACCCTATAATTGCTCGGCATGTTTGATAGTAGGCGCCATAGCTGGGTTACTCAGCCAACTCCATTAACCATATATCACATGTCTTTCGAATGAACAAGAAATTCATTCTTTTGTGTCTCCTGATGCTTTGTGGCACAGTATGTTGGTTCGGCGAGGTGACTCAGCCCATACTCCACAACGAGTCTATGATAAAACACAAATTCTTTTCCTCATCGCTTATGACTTCGTCTGATTCGAAAACTCACCAACTATATGGTTCATCAAGAAGATAAGCTTCCCTGGGAAGCCTTTGCCTCAGTGTTCGAACTGAACCACATGAATGCTTGTCAACATGGCGCCTACAACCTCCATGTACTTGCTCATCCAGACAGCAAAACAAAACTCGGCAATTTCCTCGATGCCTTCGTTCTGAGTATCACCGAGGATTCGGCTCGCCAAAGAAAACGGTATCCTCAGAAATATTGTGTTCCCGATGGGGATGAAGTCACCATATCAGATGAAGTGGCTGCGAAGATCACACTAACAGTTCGCCGTTGGCATCCTGAGAAGCATTCGCCTGATAAAGACGAGAGTTTTGAGACCTTTCATCAACCTTGTATAAGAGGATTATGCATACACACCAATGAATCCGATACCTGCGGGTGTGCGTTGCCATTCAAAGAACGCAAGATGGCAGCATTTCAACGAGACAAGATTGAAAACGACTGTTATGAATTTGAGAAATACAACGAGGAAGCATACTTCAATCTTGATGTCGTCAAGACTTTGATACTCCACGGCGAAATGGATGCAGTACTTCGCTCTTGTGCATATGAAGGCTCTCGTCTCTCGGACTGGTGGCAGGAGACTGAATGTGACTGTATGCCACTAGTTCTTGGGTGGGATAGAATATGCAAGTACTCCATTAAGATGTACATTACACTCAACCTTGTAAAGTACTTCCGTGAGCCTTGGGACAAGGACGATGTACCTGTCGACGACTACCGCAATATCAAGGCGTATCAACTGGCGATCCGATCTTGTACAAAAACCGGATCTCTTGGCGACGTTGCAATGTACCCCCATTGGGACTTCTTCGGTATTGAGAAGGACCAGTTTAGGTGGTATCCAAAACCTTGTGATGTTCCGCGTTGGAAGCATTTCATGAGGTTGGAAAGGGACAGATTTTGTTTTTGGTTCCATGACGATGATAAAGCGGACGATGGGGTTGGCCTCAGGGCTGATGATGAGTCTACTAAGCTCTCGGCTCAAGAACCCGCCGGTTATTATGCCTATACGTTGACGTTCTACCCATACGGCCTGATATCCTACGAAGAATTCATCAACTTTGAAACACCAGTCGGCCACCAAATCAATCCATCAGATGCCACACACGTCAGATGGATACTGTGCCAAAAAGGACTTCCAGTTGAGATATCAGATTGTATTCTGGAATATGCAGACTACACCCCGAGAGGAAGTCTACCGCTATCTCGATTATTGCTGGCAACTCATCGTGAGATGCTACATGCTGGGCAATGAGTTGAAAGACAAGATGGATATCGAGAGTCTTCTTCGGGTGGAGGTCAAAAATAGCTTGGCTGAGTTGTTCAGGTGTAAGTGCGATGGGGTGAACGAATTGCTTGAAGGGCTTTGACTTGGAGGCCCCAGATGACTCTGAGGTGGCTACTTGGAAAATGGCAAATCTTCTTCTAATGATTTATTTTATGGTGTATTACGTGAAACTGAAACCGTTTTCTTGCTTTGCTGTATAATATTTTGTGAAGATAGAAAATAGCATGGCGATAAAGACATCCACATGTCTATTAATGCATTATCGGTTTGACAAGATCATTTATTTTGTATCATGTATTAGACAACAACTCTTCAGTCAATGTCTTCAACTATCACGGCCACGCTTCCAGTTCCAGGGTATCACTGCTTTGTAGGGGTAGGGAGGTGTCAAAGATAGTGCGCTAACTGTGTGAAGTCACGCTTTGACGGACGAATACGACGGGACGCGTCAATGGTCTTCTTTCCATTCACTGGTGATAACGACAAGACTGAACAAATCACTGCCTCATCTCGATTCCTCGCCATGGAGGCTCTTCCAGATGAAATCTTGCATAAAATATTTGCCGAACTGGAGGACCAAATGCCTCTAGATAGATGGCAGCTGTATGGACTTCGACTAGATCATCGAGGCTCAGCCGCACTCCGCATCCTCTGCCTGGTCTGCCGCCAGTTCCGTCGCATCGCGCAACCTCTGCTGTACCGTACCATTGTCATCGAGGGCCGCAATGGCGCAAAGAACGTTAGCACTCTTCTTCTCAGAACGTTCGTCGAGGATCCACAGCTCGCAGAGCAAGTTCGCGCCGTCTCTCTGACCGACTGTATCAAGCTCTCAGAGCAGGTGGAATATTGGGCATAAATGCAACCAAGGCGCTCGTTCGATCAGCAATGGAGAAGCTAGATATCCCGCCTGCCCTCAAACGTATGATGATGAGAAATATTGCAGATTCTGGCTTTGCTGCTCTTATCCTAGCATATATGCCTCATGTTTAGGTCGTCGACTGCACTATGGGTAACAAGCCTAGCATGCTCCCCTGGCTGTTGAGCGCAAGCCCGCACGCAGGGAGGCCCTTAGGCTGGCTTGAACGACTCATTCGGGGTGACGTCTCTGATGACGAGTACTTTGTCAAGGAACCAAAAGAGTATGACTTTTCCGATGAAGAAGATTTCGTGATAGGCTACGGCAAGGAATTGAGCATGGAAGAGTACCAGCAGAAGGGCGTTTCCAAAGGTACATTTGCAAACTATTGCTTTGCGAACCTCACCGATATTCGCATTAGGGCAGTAGAAAATCCAAAGAGCATCGAGGTTCCTTGGACTATCGAGCCTCTTCTTCTCAACTCTATGCTCAAAATACTACGAACACTTGGCACTGCCTGGCACGGTGATGAACTCACCGGATTTGTGTGGCCTGAGCACAAGAACTACAACCTAGAGTATTCCGACCTCATGGAATCATACGTCGATGCCGAAGGACTAAGCACAATTCTCACTCGCTGCCTGAAGCTTAAGGGAATCTCGATTAGGTTACCCGACGAGGATAGGGACCTACCAGTTAACTATGACCAGGGCTTTAGTGAGGAGGAAGATTGTGCCCTCAACTTTGATGACTTTGGGGACGTTCTTCGCAAACATGGCCAAAATCTCGAAAAGTTCGACTTGAACACTTTCTTTTTTGAAAGCTACCGCACGATTCAGCGAAATCGCGGCCCAGGTGAAGGAATAATTGGTTCCCTCCGAGAACTCAAATCCCTCAGACACCTCGGAGTCAGCAAGGAGGCCTTGATCGGAGAGATTGAGCCACTCTCACGACTGAGCGAGGTTCTGCCGGAATCGATTGAGACTCTTCACCTGTATTGTGGTGGAATATGGAAGACACAGGATTGGGTCGAATCGGAACGTGAGCTGCATAACCAGGACGTCTACAAATTGCTTCTCGACGATATGCCTAATCTCCGCGAGATTAGGATAGAGAGATGCAAGACTAGTTTCGACAGTGATAATCATTATGAGTCGTATTCTGATTTTGATGATGCGGCTACTGCTGCTGATGAAGAAGAAGAAGCAGATGATGATGATTCGTGTTTTAGTGATAAAGACCCAGAAGGTCTTTATAAACCACTGTTTGGACCGGAAGAATTTATGTACTCGAAGGAAGCGGAGTGGCCACCTGAGCTGCATGTCACTGGCTGGTCTGTGGACATCGTCGAGGAGGGCCTATATAAGATACGTGGAAGACCAGCTTGTGACTTTCGGGTCGTCACTCTGACAAGGACAACATGAATGGACTCTGCTTATGTCCAACTGGTGCACATCAAGGGCGGGACGCTCGGCTGAGATGTCGTATGCGACCTTGGGGCCCAGGTCCTGTCATCTGTAGCCTATCATAAAACACAAGTCATCGACTCGCTAATCTGATCCCCTGATCTTTGTTTCCACCTCAAAATGCATCGACACGAGTGGGCGAAGCGCGAGAAGAGATATCTTGGTTGGCCTATGGCGTGATGGGCGCAGAGGAATACAGTTCACTTCAAGGCGTTATTGCTACAAAACAAGATTAATGCATCTTACCTGACGGAGCCTTCGAATGATAATCCAGGACATAATCATGGGTGTACTTCGGTGGTAATATTCCCGAGAGATATGATCACTAATTCGGAGAGCATTGCGAGGTTAATACGCGCATCGAAGCGAGAACATATTATCAACACAACAGGACCAAGTGGAAGAAGTCTTTACTTATACAAGTGACATGCATGAAGCCAAAGCATTAGCAGACGAATAATGATGCATCTTTCTTGGAGCTAGTCTCAAACCACAATGACATACATCTTGTCCGAACAGTCACAACAAGGACCTTGCCTGCCGGAACCAAAAATGCGAACCAAAATACAAGTCCAACACAAAAAGGCAAGCAAAAAATCTCGCTGCAGTCATCTTTATCAGCTATGGCAGCCTAGTCCAGCCTGCATCACCACACCCCCTCATCCCAAACCTCACGCGCCATTGGTCAACCGTCGACCAACTGACCTAGATACAGTTACATCGTAGCCCGCGTCCTAACCAGTTTCTGCTGCAGATAAAAAAAGTCGTTGGTCTGTAGGGCTGTTGGTACAGTGAAACAAAAGTGTATCAGCAGATGCTCATGATGGTTGCCTCGTGTGGGACGGGACGGATGTTTCAAAAAGGGTGTCATGGTCCCCGATTCTGCTCTTTTCTTTTTCTGCACTTTCTGCTTTGTGAATAACTTCACTTTTGCCTTTTGTTCTTCATCATGGGAGTTCCCCACATAAATGCCCGCCAGGAGGTGCAGGTTATAACGCAGACCGTTTCTCTCCCCACGACCACTTACACCACCCAAGTCACGCTAGGCGTGGCTTCGGCTCCAGCCACGGACCGTCCCGTCGTGACGTCTCAACACAGCGGCGATGGACTAAGCAGTGCACAAATTGGAGCAATAATCGGATGCATCGTTGGAGTATTCGTGCTCGCTTTTATTATAATCTGTTGCTGTCGAAGACCGAAGCAGCCAAAGAAGCGGAGGAGTTATCGGAGCAGTTATGCGGATTCTTCAGATGGTTGGTCTGAGAGGATGCCGAATGAGAACTGGGTGAGGCCTGTGCCTGTTCCTGTTGCTAGACCTGTTCCTGTTCAGTTTCCGTCCCCGGTGGTGCAGAGGGAGCAGATCCCTGGGGGACCGAAGTATCCGACTTATAGGGCGATTCCTATTCCTAACCCGAGAAGGGGAGAGAATCCACCGAGGACATATTGGCGATAGCTGCCATGTCTATCAGCAGGAGTTCATGGGATGAATGAGTTATGAGAAATGTGAGACGAGGGATACGACGAATTAAATAGAAGGGGATGGGGAACAAGAATATTGTTCCAGTCAAGGCGTCAGATGAGAGGCATTCACAATCAGCGAGCGAGCGAGCGAGCATTTTCATTTATCATCACAACACTGAAAACATAATGAACACTGCATAGTCCAACACATTCATATAATATATACACTAATTTATCATCATCATAATCTCATCATCTCTCGTCTCATTCCTCTCCAACAAGTCTTTCTTGCCATACTTAGACAACAACCTTTGTCTTATGATTGCACTTGTGCGCGTTGCTAGCAAGAGTCTTCTTCTTCTGCCACTGCTCGAAGCGCGCAGCAACAGCCCTCTTGCTCTTGGGGTTAGCAGAGGTCTTGTCTCGTGGAGGAACGCCCTTGAGGCTGAGAGCGAACTGGGCGGCAGCACGGCCAGCGGTCTTGGTGTTGAGAGTCAGAGCTCCCCAGTGGATATTGTTGATGGTGTCGCATTCCAAGTGATAGCATGGATCGGTCTCCGCATCAGCGCCGGTGAAGATTCCGGAGGAAGGGATGCCAAGCTCGACAAAGGCGGCGTAGTCAGAAGACTCACCGAACTCCCTGTGAAACTGTGAGTATACTTCTTTTAGGTGATCAGTGTTGATACTTACTCCCATTCGACAGTCTTGCCCTTCTTGCGGAGCCAAGCAGCCAGGATATCTCCTCCAACTCGGTCAGCGGGCTTGCTAGCCTGGACCCAGTACTTGGGCTTAGGAGAGCCGATCATGTCATAGTTGAAGTAGAATCGGATTCTGTCGGCTTCCTCCTCAGTGAGCTGCTCGCCGTAGTAATAGGATCCAGCAAGGCCGCTCCTGTATCACAAATCAGTCAACAGCAGAGAGACGTGGATTGTGCCACTCACTCTTCAGCACCCCACCAAGCAAAGCGGACCTTGTTCTTGTAACCAGTGTACTTGGTGAAAGACTTGGCAATCTCGAGAATACCAGCAGTTCCACTACCATCATCGTTGATACCGGGACCAGCTTGGACGCTGTCAAGATGAGCACCCATCATGACAACGTTGTTAGGGTCACCCTGCTTAGTCTCCGCAATGATATTCCAGGTCTCGCGGGTCTCATGGAACGAGTCCACCAGCAAAGTGACCTCGAGCGTCTCACCAGCCTCGATGCGCGTTCTCCAAGCAGTGCCAACTTCAAGAGGAATCACACCAACGGGGACGATGAGCTCAAGGTTCTCAGCACTGAGAGTCGCACTGGTGATACCCTCGCCAGGTTGGTTGTTAACGAGGAGAACACCACGAGCGCCGGCCTTCTTTGCGAGCTTGAGCTTATCTGAGATCGCACACGAGCCGCGCTTCACAAGAGCGAGTTTATCCTTGGCATCGACACCCTCCCATTGGTCTGCAAAACATCCAGATCCGCGCTCATCGTCAATGGGGACGAGAACAAGAGGAGCTGTCACACCGTCGGGTGTAGGTGTGCCGACGTTGTAGATGAGAGTGATGACATAGACATCCTCGCCATCAGGTCCTCGGACCCAGATGTCTTTGGTCTGCTCGAAGGTGTAGTTGAAGGGCTGGATGTAAGTGTTGAGATGCTTTCCGTATTGGCCCTTGAGCTGCTTGGAGATGTAGTCGACGGAGGCCTTGTAGCCGGGGAAGCCAAAGGCACGGTTGCCGCCGTTCTTCTTGGCGATTGTGTTGAGGTCTTCAAGGGTCTTTCGAAGCCTGTTGATGTTAGTGGTTTTAGCAAATTGAGTGAGCGAGGTTTGACATACTTTGACTTTTTAATGTCACCCTCAACTTGACTGGGAGTCAATTTCTTGGTAGCTGATACCTCAGAGAAGAGGAGAGCTCCGTAGAGCAAAGCATTGAGGAACTTCATCGTGAGAATTGTCAATTGAGTAACAATATCTCTTGAAGACAAGAATGTAACCTGACAGTCCCTAAACAACGCGACAGATGCTTCCCTTTTATAGCAATACAGCTGTCATCTGTATAGCTACAGCTACACAACGTCAATGCAACACAGTCTAACAAAGCTCCCAATTTACCCCAACCAGAACCTGATCCAGACGGTTAAAACCCATCGGTAGACGGTGCAAAAATGGCAGGTCGCAACATTGCAAAGTCTTGGCATCGACTGGTGCTCACGACCCATGTCGTGGCGCCAACGATAAACAAGCATGGCAGAGATAAGATCTACAAGGAGGTGCGGGGTGGGAGCCAGGTCCGGGAGGCTGATGATAGGTTCGAGCGAGTGGCGGAGGAACTATTGTAAAAGGTTCGAGGACTTTTGAAGAGGGTGAATAGGTATGCTTACTTTTAGCTAGACTGGTTGTCAAGAACTGGGATGAATGGCCGAGGATGATGGTGTCTTATCAATGAGATGGGGCAATTGGGTCAGCGCGTTTATTCAGTATCATGACATGAGCCGGTGAACACATTGATGTGATTGAGGTTATGGTGTCATGGGTAGAAAGCTGATGTGCTTCTGCTGGTATCAGCCAAGGTAGAACAAAGCAACAATAAATATTTCACACATATAAAGTGCTGAGTGGTCACGAATCTCGTTCCCTTATTATAAAGAAGCAGTCATCTTCTTTTCCGGCATTATTGAGTTAGGATAGACATAATAATAGATGGACTTGCACTGCATTTAAGCTTAATGCGTAGCTTAACTTGAGCCAAAACTTCATGATGCCGATGCTCCCGGGTAGGCCAACGGCTTTCGGTTCTCCCAAAACCGAGCATGATCTCCTGACCCCTTCACCGCCTACCGCATTCCGCCCTCTGAACCTTCTAGCTCACGTTCTAGAACGGGTTTAAGAGGATACACTCGGCATTGGCGGGGCACATCCAAAGTTTCTGTCATGCCCGCCCCGCCACCTTTAGCCTTTGCCATTAGCTAACAATGTTTGTGTCCCGTGGCGTGCTTAAGTCGTCGGTTCTCGTATGAGAAACTCTTTTTTCTCCCTCTTCATTCTTCTCTACCTAATCTAAAATACATAATTGTTCCAAAATGGCTTCTCAGGTCCCTCACGTTCCGCCTCGCGCTGCTACTGTCCTCTCGGCGACAGAGCTCATCGGAAATACTCCTCTTGTCAGACTTAACAAGATCCCCCAGTCGCTGGGCATCGAGTGCGATGTCTACGTCAAGCCAGAGCTGTTCAGCGCTGGAGGCAGTGTCAAGGACAGAATTGCTCTGCGCATGATTGAAGAGGCTGAGAAGAGCGGAAGAATTAAGCCTGGTGACACTCTTATCGAGCCTACCAGTGGAAACACGTAAGATCACCACATTTCGAAGCTCTCGGGTCTCAGCTGACTGTAACAGTGGTATCGGTCTTGCTCTCGTCGGAGCTATCAAGGGCTACAAGACTATCATCACACTCCCCGAGAAGATGTCCGCCGAAAAGGTCTCCGTCCTCCGTGCCCTTGGCGCCACCATCATCCGTACTC